ATATTTATATACATTATATACAAATGTGGATAATAGTCATGTCAATATGAAATCTAACAAAATATATTAGTGGCAGTAAGGCTTTAAATACCCCAAAAGTCCAAAGCTCAAATTGCTTTATGTATCTATGTTACTCTTTAAAGAATAAAGCCCCCCTTAGAGTTGTATCAGACCAATGTAAACAAAACAAGAAACTAACTTAACCTTTTAGATCTATAATAGCAAAGATGAAAAATGGGACATTTGCTGAAAAGAATATTGATGGATAAAAACACAGAATGATATAGAGAGGGTTCAAATTATGACAAAAAAGAATGAGAAAAAAATATTAAGATACAGCAAAAAAAAAAAGAGCTAGTCATTGACAAAGAGAAAAGCTAAAAGACATTTTGGAGCACCGATCCTCTTAAACACATTTCTCTGTTTTGTCAGTTTAGCAAGAACTTCACATTTTCCCACATTTATATGAAAGAAGAACAGTTTGGATGTGATCTTTAATTTAAGCAATATCTTTAATTAAAAGAAAAACACCATTATGAATTGCTTTGAATTTCACTGTGTGTTTTTAATTTAATACACTATTAGAACATCTGTCAATTAAAAATTCAGTATTAAAGATTATTGAGCCTATCTGTAAGCCCCGGCAAAAGAAGAACCCCCCTAGCTTTTTATACTGCCTTAACTTTCTTAGCGAGTCCCATTGACAATAGCTGTTGCTCCAAGGAAACAAAAGCAATCATTCCTTGAACCTCATTTCTCTTACATGTTCCTCTTTCTTTGCTGGAACAGTGTGTTATTGTTAAAAGGTTCTGAACTGTTCTTCAATTATCTGAGAAAATCTACAGCCCAAAGCAAATATTTGCTTTATGCCTACAAAAAATAAGCCACAAAGAAAACCAACAAAACCCCATAACCCAAACCCCAAATACTTAAAAGCCAGTTCATGCAGGGCCTTACCTATAAGAAGAAAGTATATTTTGCAAAGGAAGATCCCAACCATGCTGCTGAGGGGCTCCATGAGAGCATCCTGCCCCATGCATACGGCGCCCTGATCTCAGTGGCAAGTAGGTTCATGGACCAGCAGCTGCTGGTTTATTTGCTAGGGAAATTAGCAGTGAGGTAACAGACCCTATCCTGCCTCTTGCTTCTGTGATTTGAATACAGAATGAATGTGTATACAAAGGACACAGGGAGTAGGAACACCTGTTATATGCTTTGCAAGAACACAGGGCTGTGGCTTTCGGAATAGTTTCTTAGTGATTCTCAGTAATTTTTCAGTATAGCTTTAAAAATTATACTGAGTTATTCATAATCAGGAGGAGGAAGACACTCTCTTTGGGTGACCTCATGATATATAAATCCCAAATCTGGTTTCATATCATGAAAAATTATGTGGTTTTGAAATTTGAAAAATTACTTTCTATTGAAAATTGAAGTACTTTATGAATTTGCCATGTAGCTATTCATCTCCATAAAGTTACTGATTATGATGTAAGGACTGTACCAAAGAACCAAAGCATATAATTAGAGTATTTTTAGATGTATTTTTTCTTTGTTATATATTCTATTACAAATGGCTGCGATAGTTTTATTGAATCTACATATTCATAGATTTAAAAACAAATCACAGGTATGTTTCTAAGTAGGGACGAGGCATGCATTGTGTATTATTATAATGTATAGCATATGCCAACAGATAATTCAGTTTTCTCAGTTGAATCTTAGAGGAAGTGAACCAACAATCCATAAAATCTTTACCTGTGTATTCTGTCTACATCTTCCCATCCTAACTCCTTTTATTATCATGGAAGAAGATGGTCTGAGAATTGCTGCTTAATTTGGTAAGTTACAAGTGAGCTATCATTAAGAATGCTGTGGCCCAAGCTTTATGTAAAAAAAAAATTACTTAAAAAGCAAGTAGAATTTCAGCACAAGTCGTTTTCAACAGTGAAGTTCCGCTGAAGGAATTCAGTGACAAGAGGAAGAAGGAAGGCATAGACTTTCATTCTAACTGCTTAAACGAAGACTGTTGTTCAAATATTAAAAATAAAAAAAGGGACAATGGCTATTCTGGAAACCAACTTTGGAAATACTCTTTATATCAAAGCTCCCAACTTGTTAAGAAAGTGTCTAAAGGCAAAGGCACTGCTGTTGGGAAACTCAACTCCTTTATACAAGTCAGTCATTTTACAATACTCCATTCCTCAGAAATATGTCAAGAGCATCCTCAACCCCAAGCAATGACAAGTTTCTCTTCACTCTCTGAATCTTGCACACTCATTTATTGCAGCGTTAACCATATTCACTTCAGTTCATTTGCTTAGATGTATACTTCTCAGGTCCTTGACTACAGTGAACGTCGTAGTCATGGACAGTTGGCACCTAAGCATAGTGCTCATTTTCCTTAACATGTTCCCCCAGAAATAAATTCCTTTCACTCTTTAGCCTAAGCTGTCTTCGTCTTAATTGCTCCTTTAAGAAATGCACACTAATTTTCATACTAAACGGTGCAACGTCCCATTGGAAAGACACATTGGACTTAGATACCACACAAGCTCCCTCACTCCACTTAGATCAGTCTTAACACAAGCTGCTCCTATTAAATAAAAATTTTTATAGTGTCCTTAAACCAAAGTATAATTTTTTTAATGAGGGCTCCGGGATCCTTGCCAAAATGTGAGAAACAAAGACAGTAGAGTGGGTTTTTCCTAGTGTCAAATGTACAGCATTTAAGGGATTTGTAAAAATTCCAGTATTTTCCTCGTTTTACCTTAAGATATACATCTTGTGACAGAAGATAATAGGTGATATAATAAGAATTTAAATACCTGAATGAACCATTCTTGTGCTGTTTTTCCTGTCATTACATACATTAAAAAATTTGCATTACTTGTGTGTTTTGTACAGACTGTATACCTTGACCAAGCGCCCTCTAGTGGTATGTTGTAAGTATAACAGCTTACGAGAGTAATTTGTGAATTCAGGAAATTTACGTTGAATTCACACAAGCAAATTTAACTTCAAGTGCTGCCAAACTGACAGAATTCTTAAAAATAGTTCCAAAGTATTTTGTCAGTATAAGAAAAATTCTTCCATACACATGGCATCACTCGGAGGCAGAGGCGGGTAGATCTCTGTGAGTTTGAGGACAGCCTGGGCTATACAGTGAGATCCTGTCTGGGGCTGGGGACAAGGGTGGGATGGGATTGTCTCAACACTATTTTATAGCAAGTTCATAATCTATCAACTGTTTTGGTTTTTAAAAGGTGGGGGGGGACTATATTCTCACTGTTTACTGGTCATAGTTATAGTTGCATTAAAAATGATTAACCTACAACAATTTCTGTCCATGATGATTGCATTCCCAGGAATGCAAGGAGTCATTGGGAATGCATGTGGAGGGGGGGGGGGGGGAAGGAAGGAGAGAGAGAGAGAGAGAGAGAGAGAGAGAGAGAGAGAGAGAGAGAGAGAGAGAGAGAGAGAGAGAGAAGAGCATGGCTGCTTTCTGACTTCTCCAGTCACACATCCTTTACTGTCTAGTTCATTTAAATGATTAGGCTGGTTTTGTTTACACAATGGACATCTACTACATGCATTTCAAGCACCTATATTCTTTAATACATATCCCTTAATGGAATAGCAAAAGCAACAGAGAAGAGTTGGTGACATCCTTAAGATGACAGGAACAGTTGTGTATAAGATGAACTGAGGGGGCATTCATTGTTATAATTAATACTGTAATTACATTTGATTCTGAGGGGCTGTACAGTCTGCAGGAAGAGCTGACCCCTCGAGGAGGCAACTGCATATGCAGATTCCTGTGGGAGCCACCAAGCCTCTGTACAGTTGGCTTGAGAACTGCTGCCTCCCAGAGGGCCGGTTTTTCTAATAAACGTTAAACTGATATAGTTAAAAGGCACTGGTGTCATGATTTGGGAATCACTCCTCAGCACGATACAGGAAACCTTTAAGCACCTGAATAATCAGTTTACAATCTGCAATAGTCTTAGACAAGTTCCTTAATTTCCCCACACCCGATTCTTCATTTTTAACACGGAAATAGTAACTCCATAAGGTGCTCATCATGCATATGGGCTTGGGTGTGTCTTTTTTTTCTTTTTTTCTTTTTTATTATCCTTGTTTGTTTATTTGCATTTTTTTTGAGAGAGAGAGAGGGGGGGGGAGCAAGCAAGCTTGGAGTTGGTAGGTGGGGAGGCGGGGCCAATCTAGAATGAGTTGGGGGCGGGAAAACCTGATCAGAAAATATTGTATGGAAAACAATTTGTAATTGAAAAAAAGGAGAAAAAGGTTCTCATGCAGATACATGAGGTCATACACATGAAGCCATTAACAGAGTCCCTTCCAATTTGTAAAATTTCAGTGTTACCTACTATTATTAGCTCTGAGTTTGCTGCCCCCATAATCTCATGATTTGAAATCCTTGTAACATTGAGTCCCCTTAGCTCCCCTATTACAGTCTCCTTTGTAACTTTAGAGTGACACATGCTCTCAGAATGACTGACAGCTGTCATGACTTGCCTTTGCTTAAGCAGGTAGGAAAATGATAGTAGAGGATTAGACGAAATCCTTTGATGCTATTAGAGCTCTTTACAGGGAATGCCAAGAATGAAGAGGAACCTACAACTGGCCATCAGCACCTTAGGGTACCTGCCTCCCCCTTCCCCCGGCCACACCCAGAGCCACTGGGAAATCCCACCTTCCAGGACACGGTCTCATTACCCCTCCCACCCGCACTCCTAGAGGGCGTTTTGTCAGTCTGGACTATCTACGGTCTCCTCAGAGTTTGTTTAGCTGACTGGCCAGAACACCTAAGTCTTAGGCACCAGCCTCGGCTAAGCCGGTTCCACGTACAGGCGGTCACTCGACCAATAAGATTTGCTGTCGGCTAGAGCGTGGCTTCTTGGGAAATGTAGTACCCAGGCCGGCCTTCTTCTACGACTGCAGCCGGAAGACTACACTTCCCAGCATGCTCAGCGAAAGGAAGGCTGACCCAGGCGGGCGGCTCCACGTGACTACTCACTATGGCTTCCCTGTGTTGTAGCCGGCTGTCTGGTGGTCTTGTGTGATTTGTTAGTTCTCAGCGCCAGGGTAATCGTCTCTCGACCTCGACATGCAAAAAATCAAATCTCTAATGACCCGGCAGGTGAGTCTTGTAGTCTGAAGCAAACAGGTCCTTCCTCCCGGCTGGGAGAGGAACCGAGCGCCCAGACCCCGGGCAGTGGTGGGCGGAGGCTTCAATTATAGGTGGTGGTAGGTCTTAGGGGCGCTGGGCAGCAAAGTAGTACCCTGGAAAACTCACCTGAGCCTCCTTAATCCGACCTCGACCTTTTGTGGGTAGTGTCCTCTTAGACACAGTCATTTAGACAAGGCCAGCCAGGGAGTTGGGCTGTCTTTGTCTCCCCTCTGCTTTTGCTTCCTTTCCAGGACAGCCTCAGCTGCTTTGCAGCGTCCCCCTCATCCCGACTGGCGGTGATTTGCCAGTAGGTGTCCTGGGTAGGGACATGGGTCTGTACAATAGAGAAGACTGGAAAAGAGCTAAAGTGAAGAAACAGGGCTATTTGTAGGCAACATTGCTACCGTTGTGGTTCGGGGGCAACTCTCCAAACCTTGTAGATGTTTTCTGGATGTGAAAATGAAAATGACAGTTGCTTTTCTGTTCCTCCTATCTCAGTGTACCGCTGTGAAGGTCATCAGTAAGTTAGTGTATGCGAACATTCTTTGTGTATTGCTACTTAAAAAAAAAAAAAAATCCTTGTTATGGCAAAACAGTGTCTTTTTTGTTCTTGCCAGAAGGATAATTCATGAATAAGACTGCTCTGTGTCTCAGCTTCCTTCAAGAAGCTGCTGAAATTTATTTTTTTAGGTATTGATCACTTTATTTCAGAAACCTTTGTTTTGACTGTAGCATATATATAGAATTTGCTATTTTTTCTTCGTTTTAATAAGAAGCAAGCATAGTTTAGATGAAAGTTTTAAATCATTGTGGCTTAAAATGTTGGTAGAATCCTTTCACTAAAGTTTCACTTGCCATGTTTTTTCCTAACAAAAGAGAACAGGAATACAAATGACTTCCTTACATACTTGAGAATTCAGAATTTTAGCGATGGTGGGACAGTTTCATATAATTTCCGATAGACAGTACTTACATGATCCTGGTATAACAGTTTTCCCTTTTTGAGGAAAATATGATTGGTGTCAAGAAAGTAGAGAAAATGTTCTGTGAATAATAAAAGTCAAACAAAGAAGTAGGTGAGTAGAGGCATCTAGCAGCCTTCACATTTGAACACTGGTGCTTCCTGTTGCTTCTTACCTGAGAAGGAGTTTGGAGGCTGCTCCATCCTGAGTGGGGAGGAGAGAGAGCAGATCAACTCAGAGCTGACCTGCAGCCCCTCAGGTGCTAGCCAGTTACGTGCTGGTTTTCTTTCTGTCTGCCTGGTCCTGCTTGGTAAGCAGTATGCTCATTTGTCTGTTATGCCACTTGTAAACTGCCATGGGGCTGCTGTCCTTAAAGCTGGTGCTCAATTCCATTTGGTGCCTGGGTTACCAGAGGTATGTAGTAGCTTTGGTGATTTGAGTTTTTGGTTTTGAACCTTACCTTGTGAATGAGTGGGAGAGAAGAACCAAAAAATTCCGGATAACTGATGTTAATATATTTATAGTGTTTGTAAATGTAGTGCAGACTGTGCTGAACTTGCTAATTCTTAAACCTCAGTCAGTTTATTGAATTATAGTAGGTTATATCTGTGTTTAATTGGAGAGGAAAAAAAAATCTCCAGATCATATGCAGGAAGCTGGAGCTGTACTTTAAAAAAAAAAAGTAAGGTAACGTTAGGAGGTTTATACAAATGTGTGGCCCTCCTAATTATATGTGTTTAAAGCTCTACATATCTAAGGTTTCTACATATTTGATTATTATGCTATTAATGAATATTAAAGAGAAATGAAATTCTGGTGTATGAGATTTTAATTTTATTTGTGTTCTCTCTCTCTCTCTGGCCATTTTGATCTTTCTTTGCAGAAGATTTGCAGGGAAGGATGCACTTTGCTATCTGGCCTTATTTAGATGAGATCTGTTACTCACCATTCCCCATTATGCTGGCCTCTTTTCTTTCAGTTCAATCAACAAATTGAATTGAGCATTATGTGCCAGGCACTATTCCAGGTTTGAAAGAGGCATCAGTGAATAGAATAGACAAGTTCTAAGGCAGACATGGTGAGCAGTGCTTGAGGGAAAGAAGGTGAGCAGGCTTGGGAATTTTGACAATTTAGCATCAGTTACATCTTTACATGCAGGGTGGGCATAGAAAGCCTCAGTGGGAAGATAATGCAAAAGACCTGAAAGAAGTGAGGAGGTGAGCTAGGTGGGCAGATACCAGCAGAAGAACAAATTCAGATGCCCCAATGTGGGCAGAGTAAAGGGAGTAAGGGGAAAGACCTTAGGAGATGAGGTCAGGATGAGGGCATAGAGCTGAAGGCAGGAAGCAGGATCACACTGAACAAGGTGATAGAAATAACGACTTTTATTCTGAGTGAAGTGACAGACAAAGGAGCCATGTAGTCTGATAGAGCACTCCAGAAAGGCCATTTTGGCCCCTGTTTTTTTAGTAATAGACTGAGGGAGGAAAAAGCAAGAATTGAGAGATGACTGCAGTGGCCCATGTGGTAAAGAGTATGGGCCCGGTCCAGGGTGCTAGGGGTGGAGGTGCACAGAAGAGGCTGGATTGTGGACCGGTTGTAAATGGAGAGCTAGAAAAATGTCCTTATGTGTGTGTAAATGTCAAGGATGGTCCACGTTGGTTTAACCCCGTAGATAGACAATTGAATCTGACTCTTCTGAGATGGAGGAAGTAGGAGGAGGAGTGATTTGAGTGAAGAGGCTTTTCGACTTGTGAAACGCTGCTTAGATATTAAATAGAGAAAAAGCAGAGACCTCACCAAATGTATCTGAGTTTATGGGCAGGAATCTGAGGCATAGATAAACCTTCAGGAGTTACAAGTGTATGGCTGTAACTCCTTCAGTTACAGACAGACAGACAGACAGACAGCACTGCCTGAAGTCAAGTGGAGTGGCTGTAGACACATGAAAAGCCTTTTCCACTCCATGTTGAGAGATAGATTATGCAGAGTGGAATATGAAGGAGCTGTCAGTTTTATGAAGTCTTAGCAACTCAAATGACCACCAGCATGTAGCAGATGCTTAATAAATATTTACTGAATATTCATTAAGCTAGATAGAGAGAAAAACAAAGAACAAGGCTTTGAAAGCTGCTGTAGATCAACCAGGTAAGACTTGGGTGAGAGTTAGATTTGGAACCTGACAACACTTACTTACTTTCACAAAAATTATTTAACTTTTATTTTATGTCCATTGATGTTTTGCCTGCATTTATGTCTGTGTGGGCGTGTCAGATCCCCTGGACCTGGAGTTACAGACAGTTGTGGCTGCAATGTGGTTGCTGAGAATTGAACCCGGGTCCTCTGGAAGAGCAGCCTGTGCTCGTACCGCTGAGCCATCGCTCCAGCCCTGACACCGGCACTTATGAAGTGGTAGGGAAGAAATTCTGGCTAGGGTAGGCTCAAGAGAAACATGGGGGAGAGAGTTGGAGAGAAATTGTGAACACTCAATCTTGCTAAAAAGAGAAGGAAACACGAATAGTTGCAAATGTCCTTTTGTTCTGATAGAACACAATGGCTAGTCTCATAAGAGGAACAGAGGTTCATATAGCTGTAATGGAAGTGTCTTTGTTATTGGTCTGATGTGGACAGAGAAAGTGCAAAGTCAGGTGTATTGATGCTGAAATTTATATATGCTTAAATTGTAAAGAAAAAAAAAAGCAAAGAGAATAAAAGATAGTGGATAGTGATGATAACAAATGTTTTTGTTTACTAAAAATAGAGCACCACAGTTACAGCAATGAATTTGAGCCTTAGATGAAAATAGCAGAAAACTAACTTTATTTTGGTAAGAACTAAAAAAAAAAAAAAAAAAAAGATGATGATGAAAGGGTTAATAACTTATAGTCTTAAATTACAGTTGAGTGCCAGATATATTTATAGACAGCTAGGTCTTTATTTTTTTTCATTTTTGTTTTGTTGAAAGAAAAGCCATTTTTCTGTGATCCTAGTAATACTAAGAATAATGGTTAAAACTCAAGGAATGTTTGCAAGGTAGCTGGTCCCGCTTTGGTTTCTCATGGGAGCTGTCTCATTCTTTCTAACAATCCCTGAGTTATCACATGGTTGGGGTATAATCACAAAACATGGCTGGCTGGGAAGGTTGTGCAAGGATGCAGGAGAGTCAGGGTACAAACCAGGTGGTCTCCCATTCTCCTGGCTCCTGACATAGGGCTTCCAACTTTTATTATTCTTATTTTGTACATTTGGCAGAAAGCTGCCATGCTTACTCTTGATAATTATGTAGTAATTTAGAGGTGAAACCTTTTTCTAGATACAAGTATATATCACACTTGCATTCTAGCATTTAGGGAAAGAGGCAGACATGCTATATTCACACAAAGATTTCTGTCAGATTAGTTAGCTTTGAAAACGTTTAAAGACATGCTAATTACACTTTGAAAATGGTATTTGAGTAACAGTATTGTTTGAATTATCATTGAGTAACAGTATCATTAATGAAGTTTTACTTCCTATGTGTGTCGTCTATAGCTAATATATGTCTGTGGAAGTTTAGTTGTCTAAGTCAGCCTTGCCATTTTTGATGCTGTGCCATCATGTGAGAAACCCAATGTAGGACAAACAGCCCAAGCCTTGCGATAGGCTCCAACATGTACTCCATTGCAAGGCATATTAGACTACAGTAGACTTTAGTGTTTCTGGAAACTGCAGGCTGCAGTCAGTTGCATGCTCCCAGGAGAACAAAGTGCTGAGGAGTTGGAGAGTGGAGCCTGCACAATAATTTCTACCCAGTAATTCTGTCTGTCTGTCTGTCTGTCTGTCTGTCTCTCTCTCTCTCTCTCTCTCTCTCTCTCCGTGTGTGTGTGTGTGTGCACGCGCGCAAAACTTTGGAAACTTTGCTAGCCATTGGACAATAGAGGCAAATACCATTTGCTTTCTCCTTTAACCTGAGTCTTAAAGTATGAAGGAAGTATGTGCACTTAGTATTTAAAACTTCACTGATTGGGCTGAGAGATTGTTTTGAAAATGTCTATAACTGTGTTTCTGAAGTATTAACAATCCTTTGAGACACCTGAGGTGCTAGTTAAAATGCAAATTCCTGATCCCAGTCCAGAAGTACCTATTCGTTAGTTTCATGTTGGGCCCTTGGATCTTTAAAAGTTCCCTGGATGATATTACTGGACACAATCTTTAGTTATGCTGGGAAGTACTGTATGCCTTGAAGCATAGGGATTTAGGAAGATTCCTAAGATGAGATACTTCTGAAGCTGGTGGTGTGTTGGTTTTCTATTTTTTGGAGACAGGAGAGAGTGATAACAGGAAATAAGGATGGGTGGACTGGATACTCTAGGAACAATGGTAGAAAATACTGTCATAAACCTGTAGATGTGGCAGGTGTTATTTCCTTGCAAGCAAGATAAGCACCCTACATCTTACAGAGAACAGTGTTTGAGTCTGAAGTAACTGACAGAAGCACACCATACATTTTGGTGACTAAGGACCCCAAAAGGTCAGTATGAGGCACCTCAAGCGCAGTGCAGCTATGTTAGAAATCTCTCCTCAAAATAACGTCTAGCTGCTTTTGCCTAAAAACTAATGTCAGTTCTTTAAATAGCGTATTTTAAAGATGGGGCTTTGAAATGGAGTTTAAATGCCGAGTTCTTTCTGTCTTCCCAATTTTCCTTGGTATATGTAAGGCTTTCAGAATCCTTCACTTGATGTGCATATAGACGGTACCACAGTGCTAAAGAATGGCTGGAAACAGTGAAACATGGAGTTTATGTCTTATCTTAGGCAGCAAGAATTGGCTACATTAGTGAGAAATAGTCAAGGTTAACAAAGGGCTTTAATTAGCATTTTTAAAAGTGTTGAACTAGAGCGGTTGGTTAGTGTATTTTTATCTGTAAATCATGAGACTGTTGCTTGCTTGGATCCTTTTTTAAGGTGAATTTGTTAATGATGGTGTCATGTTTCCCTCCTTTGGTTGTTTTAAAGTTGTGGTTAAGTTAGACTTCTGCTGCTGTGCTGACGGTGCCACATGACACTCTTATTTTAAACTACTAAGAGCACATCCTTGCTTTCATAGCAGACCATATGTATTGTAATAGTTGGTCTTAGAATGTATATTCTCTGTATTTTCAAGAAGGTAAATCTCATTTGAAAACTGTCATGCCTGTTTCACTAGGTGTGTTCAATCCTTTTACAGTTCTTTAGCACAATTAAATTGTGTTTGTCTCATTTTGTCTTTTTTAAGGGTCTGAAAAGCCCTCCGGAGAGCCTCAGTGATCTTGGTGCCTTTGAGAGTCTTCGGGTCCCTGGAAAGGTATTGATCTACATGTGTGGTGTGACTTCTCACCTCCACAAGAGCAGACTTACTGCCTCTGTGTGCTAATTGCTTCCCTGAAGCTCTGCTTCCCACAGCAGGTGGTTGCTGGGCTAAGCCAGGTGATGTTTGTGCTTTCATTATGAGGGGAGTCAGTGGTAGAGTCCACACTGCCAAATTAATAAAGTTAGGGTTTATTATATCAAATTCCTGGCTTGAAGGCAGATATATATGTATATTTTGCTTACTTTGTTGCTATAATTTAAAAAGTTAAAGTAATTTATTAACTGACTTTTTAATGCTGTAGCATTACGAGCCCTGAAGTATATTTAATTATGTTTTTCCTTTGGGCAGAGAATTTTGAATAAACCAGTGAAACCCAACTTATACTAAGTCTGATGCATTTCAGATTTTAATTTCCTAATATTCATGTGAACATCTCAGTTTACAAGTTTAATATTTGCCACTTGAAAGCTAGCTGGCTTTCCCCTGGAGACCGCCAGCCATTGTTAACCCTGCTGCTGGTGTCTGTGCTGCTGCTGGTGCCTGTGCTGCTGTGAGCTGTGCTGTGGATCACAGCTCCGCCACGATGAAGGACTTCAAAGGGGTTTAATTGGAGGATTTGTGTGTGTGTGTGTGTGTGTGTGTGTGTGTGTGTGTGTGATTTGTTTTTTTTTAACATTTTTTTTTTTTTTTTTTTTTTGAACCCAGGGTCCCCTACTTGCTAGGAAAGTAATCTATCACTGAACTAAACCTCTAGCCCCTGAGCATCATAATTAAAAACACTCTTCTGCTGTGTCTGGCATCTCAATACAAGAAGCTTTTTTTCTCTTACTATAATTTCTTTTACATTTTTATTTTATTATATGGGGTTACATAAGGCATCTTCATACAACTCTATAATGCACTTGGGCACCTCTCTCTCCACAGCCTTTTGCTGTCCAGATGGTTTAGCTTCTGCTTTTATGTCATTTGTACGTAACCAATTTTATGTATTTATAGAGTCTTGGACCTGTAAATGAGAGAGAATATGCACTGGCTGTCTTTGAGACTGAGTTACTTTGCTTAATATGATCATTATGTCTGTTTTTCTGTAAATTACATAATGGCTCAAGAACCTTCTATTATGTATGTAAGTCGCATTTTCTTCATCTATTCCTTGTTGTTGGAAACCTCTGTTGGCTTCATAGCTTAGCTACAGTGACTAATGTTACAGCAGACATTGATGTGCAAGTTTGTCTCTACTATGTTGCCAGGAGTCTTTGGGTTAATGCACAGAAACTGTATACGGAATTGCATGGTAGGTCAGTTTTTAGTTGATTATGGGTGGACTGGTTTACAGTCCCACCAGCAGTTCCCATCCTTGTCAACATATGTGCTGTTTCCTTAATACAGGACTTACCTTGTTCAGTTCTCCCAGGCTTCTCACACCCCAGTGTCCGCTCTCATCTCCTTTAGACACCTTCACCAGTGGAGTAACATCTGGACTTACTGTTAATCTTTATTGGAGTTCATACACAAGCATAGTGTCTCTGTATGATAAAATGCCAATAATCCTTTTGCATGAAGTAGTTCAGACAAAGACTTGGGCATCATATATATGTGTATATAATTATGTATGTATATAAAATTATAAAATATGTTATAAATGGATGTGGTGCAGTTAGGAAGTAAGGACTAACCATACATCGTAACTGATAAGCAATTGTTTTTATTTATTTGATGAAGAAAAAAGATGATTATACATTGTGGACCTACTTTGAATTTAATTGTATTATGTTTCAGAATCAATGTCAGGTTGATGAGTGAATCTCAGTAAAAATATATGAATTTCTTAATAGAAATGGTCTGTTGTCGTTAAACCTCAAGATCTGTTTTTGTTTTTTTTTTCAGCAGTAGTGGCAGTGGGTTTACGTATAGTTTTCCTATGGACACTTGACTGTGTTTCTTTGAGATATGTGGCCCTGGGTAGAGTGTACAGTCTGGGGTCACAAGATCAGCAAATGAAAATGGTTCAGGTGAATGTCATATCTAAGCACCGGTCTTTTTGACAACATACTAAGGAGTTCTTGGATGGTAAAGTAGCTAATAGGAAGTGATGCCTCTGATGTAAGCTGCAGCTAGCCTCGTGATAAGAAAGCCTCCCCAGCTCCTCATGCCTGTTCATTCTCTGCTTGCTGACAGCCTCACAAGAACTAGGGACTGCAGTGCTGCTACCCTCTCTCTAAATGGCTCTACGTACACAAGAGCCGTACAGTACAGAATGGTGATGCTCTGGTTGGTAGACTGAGTTTGATGTGAATCAGGCTTGCAGTCACTACTGAGCATGACAGCTAAAAGAACTCTGGGATTGCTTACTGAGTGTGGCTTACTTTAACTTTAATGCAGAGCATTACACATACATACATACACACATAGATATATATCTATATATCTATGTGTATATATATGTATGTGTATATATGTATGTGTATATATATGTATGTGAATATATATATATATGTTTTTTTTTTCAGCATTCTGAAGGTTGATGTTTTCTTCTTGTAGTCTCCCTGTGAATTTTCATTAACAATTTTGAGCATTGACTGTGTTCTAGACACACTGTAGGAACTGGCAGTACAGCAGTGGAAAGACAGGTCCTTCCGAAAAGCTGAGGCTTTGCTCTTGTTACATTCATGTCAGAGAAGGCACATAGTAAACAAGATGATTGCAAATTATGACAAAAACCTTGAAGGCGAGTAGGTGATGAGATGAACTCTGAGGCTGGGTTGCTCTGCTTGAAGTGTGTTCCCCTCATGTTGTGTTGCAAGAGTGGTATATGTTTCAGAGATTTTGAAATTCTGTAATCTATCTCTTGCATGGAAAATACAGTATATTAGTGGGGTTAAAGCTACTTAGTGGTGGGTTAAGATGGATGTGTTGATACTTAGTTTATGCTACTTATGTAATTTAAATGCAGTGAAGGAACATTTAAATACTTCCACTTAATGGCATCACCACACACATAAATATATAGGCAGAACATTGAAAATAATCCCTCTGTTCAAGAATGAGCTTGTTTCTTTTTCTTTGTAATGCTATAGCATCCCTGAACCCCAGAGTATATTTAATTACGTTTTTCCTTTGGGCAGAGAATTTGAATAAACAAGTGAAACCCAATTTATACTAAGTCTGATATATTGTAGATTTGAATCCCCTAATATTCAGCTCCGTTTACAAGTTTAATGCATGAATTCTTTTTTCTTTATTATAATATCGTTCAAGTTGGAAGAAGAAACTCTCAATTCAGGAAAGAAATAGATTAGCTTGAGTTGTGATATATTGCAAGGCTTTAGAATAAACAATAGAATGTATGGGAGTGGATTATTAGGATGGATCATATTACTGTTGGCTAGGTTAAAAATGATTAATGTTTGCAGATTCCATGCTGGTTCAATTCCCTAGGAAAAGGAGGGCAGTGAAGGAGAACTGAAGAGCCAGAAGACCTGCTTCTTTTGTTTTTGTTTGTTTGTTTGTTTAGTTGTATTTTTGAGACTTGTGTAAGTACTATTGGTGGCTGGGAATCATCTTCATGGTGGTGGAGAGCAAGGAGCAGTTGCAGAGCAGGTGCACTGATGCAGGGTCCTCTAGAGACTGATGTAAGAGGGTGATGGGCTCTGTGCTGGCTTGTTACTCGGATTGAAGGCGAGCCTGCTGATAAGGAGATGCAGACCTGAGGTGGAGAGATGCAGAAGCGTTGAGTTGAGGGACATTGAAAACCACAGAGTCCAAGACGGAGGAGCTCACTAGATGTGGGAGGTGAAAGACTGGAAAGCACTGAGGCTGGAGGTGCTGTGGTGGCTTCTCTCAGCACAGAGCTTATTCTTTTAAGAGAGTCTGGAAAAACATTAAAACTAATGAAAAACAAAGAGGGTCTGCACTGGATTTTTTCTGCCTGATTCTCTGTTTGTGCAGTCCCTTCCCTCCAGCATTAGGGTCTCATTATTGGCAGACAGTTTAATATTCATTGA